TTTTATAATTAAAGTTTGTTGATAATACTTATCCCCTAATTTATTTTTTTCGAGTTGCATTAATTAATATAATAAAATTACACCGTTTTGTTGTTGTTTTACATATAATCCCCACGTTCACCAGTGGCACAGCAATAAGTTTACGACCTTTTAACATTAAAAAACGGGTTTTCGATAGCCGTAATAGGCACAGCTCAGATAGTCCATTGTGTAACTTTGTACTTAACTCCAAACAAAACCTTCATATAGATTTGCCAAGAAAACTTCATTTTCAACGGGAGTTAAGAACATTTTTCTCATTTTGAATTAGATCAACTTTGCCATATAAGTTTCTTTTTATCGTCTAGTAGATAATTCTGTACAATCATTGGATAAATATGATGCCTATCTTAACCCTTTATCTTCCGTGGCCATTTTGATCTTATCTGAGGGCAAAATCACATTTGTGAATTGAAAAAATTATAGAGAACTTATCTTTTATTGAATTTCAGATTTTATTTTTGTAAATAGCATTCAATTATTTGTACAAAATTGTACATGCGCTGTAATGTCGAAACTGGTGGTTCATCGATCTGCAACCACGTGGGGAGATGAGATGTTTATGCTTACCTTCGCATACTGGGGGATAAAGCAGAGGTTATATAATTAAATTCAATTGTAAGCAAAACCAGAACTCTAGCATTCCTCATGGCTTTCTTCTAAGAAAGTTATCCACTTCTTATAGTCCATACAACATGCACAGAGACAATGTATAACTTTTTTTTTTTGCACACTACTTGTCTGTCCTTAGGATAATAAAATATTTTTTATTTTACTGGGAACATTTGTCTGATCTCGTCTTTTTTTGCGGTTGGCTCATACTCAAGCCTTACGTTCTCTATAGGAAGATCGCTTGAACTGTTGTTAGTAACTTTCTATTGGTTAAATCTCGTTTTGATAATATTACTGATGCATGTTTTTATTGTCAGGGGATACAGTTGTAAGGAGCGTAATTTTAATGTAAAATTGAAATATAAGTCATGTGAAAATTTGTGAAAAAAAAACGGTTTGGTTTATTTTATCTTTATTAGATATTTGAAGGTAACAGTCATTTTTCTGATAATGACACAATTTGTATGGGGTTTTAGCTACATTTTCAGGGTTAGGTTTGTCTTTAGGGTAAATGGCTGTAAAATGTTTCTTTGTAATTTTCAATCAAATTACACTACAGAAACAGATTAGACAATAAAAAGTTTTTGTCGATCATCAAGATTCTCTATGTTTTGATATGATTGTGATATTCTATTATCAAATCTCTCCGGACAGAAAAATAAAACAAACAAAAATCCACTTGAACAGGTGAATGCGTATAAAATGAAGGCACATAATTTTGATAGAAATTAAAGTTCTAAAGAAGTCCACATCTGGAAAAGAAGATTTTTCAAAAACCTTATGGGTTTTAAAAACTGACATTTTTTATTCTTCTTTAATGTGTCACACTAGACATTCTCTAACATCTATTCACAAATACCTATCGATTGTCTCGGTTTTATTTGAAATTATTCTGTAGAAGTGGGCACTGCTAAGGACTTTCTACTCCAGAAATCGATTGCTTGTCAAGTGAGAGGGTTTGTTATATACAAACAAATTTATTTTCAACTGTTCGCCAGTTCTTCTGGATGATAGTTAATTCAAGAGAAAATGATAATAAGTAATTGGCATTATAAATAAATATATAATAACGTATTGATAATCATTAACCCTATTCTGATTTAAAATGACGTAAATGAAATTAATAATAATTATACTTCACTTAATTAATCTAGTTCACACCATAGCAGTTTTTGTTTGCCCGCCGGTGGAAACAACTTTAACTTTATGGAATTACAACGCTAAAATCTGGGGTTCAGTTCTCTGCGGTGAACACAGTAGATATGTGGCTTTGCTATAAAACAAACAAAAAAGTTTATGTTCATACGATTGATGATATAGATGGTGCCTAGATCATTACTTTGCTTAGCGTATTCCAACCAACCTGATGAGCCCTGATTTTGGACAAGGAACCTCTTCGGCACTAGGTATCGTAGATACAGTTGATGACTTATTATTACATATTCTTCTTTGATTGAATGTTAAATTCATAGAATACTCTATCATTATCGTCACTACTGTAACTTATAAAAGCACGTGTTCTTAAGAGGCATTGTTGATGGACTGTATCAGTTTAGAAAGTTTTTGGACGAAGTTCTGGGCTACTAGTACCCATATATTTACTTATTAAGCTATGAAGAGTTTTTACTTATAAAATCTGCATACTATAAGAATACTGATATTTTTAATGTTGTTTGCAAAACTAGTTTATAAGCATGACCTCTCTTTGTATATTTTCAAATCTATATCATAACATCTAAGTTACAGTGCTGTTGGACTTACCTATTTTTTTAGAAATAACTTAGTATCGATATGAAAACTACTTTTCGGTTTTCTGTAAAATAAACATCATATTATTTATACATAAACATTTGCTATAGTTTGTTGTTACTTATTGAATACGTTATGTTAAAACAGCTTTAAATATATAAATCAGCATGTAACTTTACAACCACAGCTGATATAAATTCTCGGTAGAAGCAGTGTAAGACTAGAGGTAAGGCAGCTAGTCATCACCACCTACCGCCAACTCTTGGGCTAATCTTTTACCAACGAATAGTTGGATTCACCGTCATATTATAGCTCCCCCACGGCTGAAAGGACAAGCATGTTTGGTGGGTCTGGGATTCGAACACGCGACCCGCAGATTGCGAGTCGAGTGCCCTAACGTTCCAGAGTTTTAACATGAACACAGAAGTTACCCGAAAGATTTCTGTGAAGAAAATAAAAACATTTCCTGTAGAGGATAAACTTCTGTGGGTGAAATATATTTAGGGAATAAATCCATGTTTGAAATCTATGGATAAGACAAAATTCAATATATGATTATTTGAGAATTGTTCACCTCCAAAATGATTTACTTACAAAATATCATAAAATATTTTTATCTTTGACAGTAATAAACCTAATATGAAATCGGATGAAAAAAAGAAAACATATACATGATGTGCCGTGATGAATCCTACTATCAGCAATAATGTT